TCTTGTTTGTGAGTTATAAAACTTGTCTTTTTGATCAACTGATTTTTTGAGTTTTCTTCAGCAACTTCCATTTGTCGGTGATGTTTCAGCTAAATAACAAGAAAATTATTGTCATAATCCTAATATTAATGTTCGTTTAATGATCGTTTAATGACGACCCCATTCCATTTTTTTTACAAACATGCTACCATCAAGTAAATATTTTCGAGAGTACAGTTTCTCTGTTTCAATATCAGACACTCCGTGCTAAAGTGCATAACATATATTTCAAGTTGAAATATGAGCCTAATTAATTCAACACAGTCTGTAAATAACTGAAAAAAGTAAAGGTGAACGTCAAATGTAAGATAGTCTTGATAGTCTGAAGAAACTTTTGACTGTTGGGAGAAACATTCGTGTGGCATTTTGGAAATAAAAATTAAATGATCAGAACAAATAATTAATGTGCCATTCTCATTCAAATAAATTAGTTTTGAAATTGCTATTACATTATTATCGCTAAAATAATAATTTTTATTTTCTTCGTAATTTGAATTATTGTAATTAAATATATTTTACTTTTCTTTTGAGTTGGGTGACCACTCTTTGCACTTCCCATAACTCTTCCTCTTTTTTAATGTTCTTCACCTTTCAAGAGTAAACAATTATGACAACGTAATCAATACATATATCATAAATATAATTAAATTGACATAATCCTTGGGATCCGCATGATGAACATGAGAAAAAAATGAAAGAATACAAAATAATTTAATAAAATTAATAATCTGAAAAACCGTAAACTATTGAATAAAAATTTAAGTATAGTGGAAGACAATGTAACAATTAAAGCACAAAACTGTATCACGACGTTATAATCTTGACAAATTAAAACCATTCTATAATTTGCAATTTGTTCATTTTGAAGTTTAAGATTTTTTTAAATAATGTGCATAATACGATAAAAATTATAAATATTCCAATATATCTGTAATAAGTTCCACCAATTTATTAGTGCTTATCAACTTATATTCGAATTTTTCAATTTGTCTTTGAAAATTTTTATCAACAAAATTGAGTCTGTTTAAAATTGAAGCTTTATTTTTATTAACAAACATTATATTAAAATTATTGCAGATAGATCTATTTCGACGTTAAACCGTCATCGTCAATGCCTTATTTAGTAATTATTATTATTATAGTTTCAATATTATTAAAAATACGTACAAATAAATTCGAAAAAGAAACATGAAATTCTAATGAAAAATTTTAACAACGAAAATTTTTTAAACGATAGTTGTCAAGGCGGCAAAAACAGCGGCTAATTGTGAAGCGCGAAATTAACTCAATTTATTATTACCATTCAATCCTTGTTTATAGTCTCCATCAGTTATGGGTCGGACTTTTTTATTCCATTCATCAGCTAATGTCTCCAAGCCGATCTGTCCATTGCGTCTTTCTCCTTGAGACCAAGTGCCTTCAAGTCCTCTCGTATGGTCTGCGTCCAGAACTTTTTTGGACGACCTCTTGGGCGGGTGCAAGGCACCTGGTGCTCAGTAACGGAAATTATTGTATCGTTTTCCTTTCGCTTCTTAACCCATCGTAAGCGATGACGACGACATGCATACTTCAACGTGCACAGTCCCGATCGGTTCAGGATATGGTCCCTTAGGTCAACATGCTGCATCCAACGAATCATCTTCATGTCAGTTCGGTGAAGCTGCTGTTCGAGTTTTGTTGTCATCGACCACGTCTGCACCATACATCAGAACAGAATGTATAGCTGTGTTGTATAGCTTTGAGCGTAGTGGTAGAGGAATGCTGCGCCGCATCAGTACTGAGACAAGGAGGTGCCATCTGCCCCACGCCACACGTATGCGTCCACGAACGGCGGCATCAGCTGTTCCAGTACAATCCAGCATATCTCCCAAATACTGAAATGAAGTAACAGTTTCGATCCCAGTAACCATATTATCTGGGCTCGGTTGTCGCGGGTCAATTTATTATTATTATTATTATTGTTATTATTATTATTATTATATAATATTTTATATTATTATTATTGTACAAGACGTTGAACAAGAGAGTTGTATTTTTATCAGCTTACTGTTTGTATGCAATAATAGTGTTTTTTTTATCGAAGTTTCATATTTAAAATTGGTTTTATCAATTCCGCAAATTTTAATAAATATGGCTGTCGTTTTAATTTTTAATTTGAACAAAAACTATATTTTATATAATTTAATTAGTTTAATTGTGGTTTTAAATTCAATAAATTTAATAAATACAACAATTTGTCCGCATTGTTCAAAAAATTGTACATCTCTAAATAGACATTCCTGGAGGTGTACAAAGGCAACTAATATAATAACTTCTAATGTTAACAACTCGGCAACCATTAAAATTTCGCCAAATTTAATAAATATTGACGATAATTTTGCAAATAATCTTAATAATATGTTGACCTATTGCTGTGGGAAGCCCTGTAAGGGCAAAAAAGGGATAACAATACACCAGAGGGCATGCAAAACATGTAAATTTCTCAAGGCTAAAGATCCGAAAGAAGAAAAACAATCCGCTTCACGAGACCCAAATCAGTCGGGTTTTGAACCCAAGGCAACCCATACGACTACCCCACAGCCATTGAAGGGAGTCAAACTTCAAAAAACACCTGCTGAATGGATAGAGGCAAACGCATTCTTACAAGTTGAATTAGAATGCTTAAATAACATGAACATCAACAACTTTGCTACTAGCTTTCAGCAAATTATCTACTCCTATTTTGCTAAAAATTACGGCTTTGTAAAAATTCAAACAACAAATAATTTAAAAACGGAATACTCTATTAGACAGTTAAATAAGGAGCTAAAACAATTAAGGGCAAAAAACAGCAACAATCTCTGCAACAGTCAAATATCAAATCTAAGTAGATTAATTCGAATTAGATTAAAAACACAAACTTCAAAATCAACCAACAAAAATGTTAGCGGCTCAACTACATCAAAATTCAATAACAATTTCTGGAAGTCATGCAAATCATCATTTTCCTCATCTCCAAATACACCTCCACAGTTAAGTATAGTCGACGGCAGCAACTTCTTCCACAAAAGATTGATAGCGGATAATAAAACTTCTTTTGAATTGCCGGAGTGGATTCCTCCTCTACCGCCAACGTCATTCGCTGGTGACATTGGACTACCATCCTACAATGAAGTTGCGTCAATTGTTAATAAATGCAAGGCCAAAGCAACGCCCTGTCCGTTAGACCAAATTTCAACAATTGCGCTGAAGAGGTGTCCAACACTTTGCACGTATCTTCATAAATTAATAATCAGATGCTGGAAAGAAACAAAAATTCCGAAGTGTTGGCAAAATGGTCTAACAATTTTAATTTATAAAAAAGGTGATGCAAACGATCCGGCCAATTTTCGCCCCATAACGTTGCAGCCAGTACTTTACAAAATTCTATCAACGTCATTAAAAAATAGACTATACGATTTCCTCAATAAAAACAAACTCATTAATACAAACATACAAAAAGGATTCTACCCAACAACCGATGGTCTGGCGAAACACACCCAGATGTTGACTCACTTGATGAAAGATGCAAAGAGACATCAACGCACAATAATCATCGCGCTACTGGATCTCCGAAATGCGTTTGGAGAAGTGAGTCATCATCTCATCAACTCAATTCTGCTCTACCACCATGTACCTAAGTTATTTTGTGATCTAATTTTATCAATATACTCCAACTATACAATATCAGTTTCAATTAACGGAAGACTCGCACCGTTGTTACCGGTAAGAAAAAGGGTGCTTCAAGGTGACCCAAGTTCTCCGCTTTCTCCTAAGTTTAACCTATGTTTCAACCCTCTAATGAAGATCTTAGAAAGTTAGGAATTTAAAAATGCGGCTACTTTTGGGGCCCAACCTCTGATGAGATTATTTCACACAGTTCGGATGGGGCACAAAAGTTAATTGATCTGAATCTAGCCTGGTGTAAATGGTCTGGTATGCAAATGAGAATCGATAAGTGTTGTGTGTTTGGAATGAGGTAAAAGGATGGCTTATACGATCAATTTTTGCCCAGGTTGACAATAGATGACATGCCTATTCCAACAGTGGAAATGGGCTGCGGATTAAAATACCTGGAAAAAATTTATGATTCAAAATTGAAAGACACAAAAGCAAAAGATGAGGTTGTTTCCAAAGTAACGCGTCTGTTGAAAGTTACGACCGAACTCGATGTTTCTTCTCAAATGAAACAACAAATATTAAAAAGATTCATTCCATCACAATTGAAGTTCAAACTACGAAGTTATAGTTTTTCACTGACGTGGATTGCCAACAATTTGGACAATCTAGTTGTTGAAGTTGCCAGAAGTTGGCTATCAATACCAATTAGTGGCTGTGTGTCTGAGATACTGGGTCTACCTTTAAAGTTTGGTGGTCACAATATTGTTTCACTCAAGGACACAGCGTGAGAATGAGATTAAAACTCCGCAACTATTTCAAGACAAACTCAAATAATGAAATACGTTGTCTTTGGCGTAAAACTGCGGTAGAATACAAAATGGTGGATAATTTGCTATCTGATTCAGCCACGTCATCTGATCCGATTAACGTTATTGCTGCTTATTCTTCGAATTGGAAGTGTTGTGATTCGTCGTTGGATGTTGATGGAAGGTTTTTCAGATTCGATAAAAATGAATACTGCGATCCTTAGGTTGTAGTGCTGTTGATTGTATTTTAAATTTTTTGTGTTGTTATTATCTAGAAGGTTCCCAGTTATTTGGGTATTGTGGACAATTTATATATGGTTTTTTATTGCACCGTCACGTTTGTGCATAGTGAGTTTACGCGATAGTGTTGTGGTAGTCATCCCTATATAGGAAGTTTGAAGACGCTCACGGTCGTCAAGAGGACAAAAAAATTTATATACGAGATGACTACGTTTCAAAAGAGAAGTGTTGTGAGGTAGACAATTATTCAAAATTAAAAGGTTAGATGTTTTGTAGCTTTTGTAAATCATAATAATATGATAATCCATAAAAATATTGAACCAACTAACCCAAAATTAAGATCCTTTTACATATAGGGATACTATTGACTACTACAACACTATCGCATATACTCACTATGCAAAAAAAAGACGGAGCAATAAAAAACCATCTAGAAACTGTCCACAACACCCCAATAACCAGGAACCTTCTAAATAACAACACAAAAATTTTATACAACAATCAACAGCAATACAATTTAAGAATCGCAGAAGCCATTTTCATCAAATCTGAAAAACCTTCATCAACATCCAACAACAAATCACAACAACACTTCCAACTCGCTTATTAAATTTTTTTCTGTTGTTATTGCAAATAGATCTATTTCGACGTTAAACCATTATCGTCAGTGCATTTATTGATTTAAAATTATAGTGTTAATATTATTAAAAATATATACAAATAAATTCGAAAAAGGAACATGAAATTCTAATGAAAAACTTTAACAACGAAAAACTTGAAATTTTTTTTAAATTTGAACGATAGTTGTCAAGGTGGCAGCGACAGCGTCAAAATTGTGAGGCGGGAAGTTAATTCAATTTATTATTATTGTTGCTGTTGTTGCTATTATTATTATTATTATTATTATCATCATCATCATCATCAGATAAAAATCATATTCAGGACTCAGAGATCTCAAGATGGTCAAACACAACAAAACACCTACCAGAGGTCCTATATAAATTTACGAGGAAATATATCATCCAGCAGTTGCCGACAATCGTAAATCTATTTAGGTGGAAAAAACGATTAATCCATCATGTTCCCTTTGCACAGAAAAACAGACAAACAAACATGTAGTGTCGTGCTGTGGCTCGCCATCGGAGCTTGCAAGATATTTAAATCGCCACAACAAAATTCTCTCAATAATTTTTAATAACATCAAATCATGTATTAAATCCGATGTAGTTGTTTTCGCTAATACTGAAGATGAATCAATTCGACCTGTGTCACATCTATTCAACTCGCTCAAGCCAGATATAATAATTGTCTGCGGAGATACAATTGAAATATTGGAATTAGCAGCGTGCCATGAAATCAACTTTACTAAATCCAAACTATAAAAAGTTGATAAATACAAAAAAAATCTCAAAAATAACTTGCCAAATGTTTTTAAACATTTTAATATTTTAATTAATACTCTTACAGACGTGAAGGCAAGATAAGAATTGGTAATTAGAAATTAAAGTGAAGCGCTTGATAATTTAATGAAAAGGCGGAGCCAATGAAAACAGTTGTAAAAGTCATGTGATGCACTTACTAGCAAAAAGGCGTGAACGATTGGAAAGTCACGTGACGCGGCATCACCAACAAAATAAGGAGGGAAAGGAACGAGAGAATGGAGAAAGAATAGAGAAAGAAGTGCACGAAATAACGAAGAGCGACGAGAGAATAACGATAATAACACGGCGTAAATGTGATTAATGTGATTTTGTGTAGTTATTAGGATTAAGTTATTGTTTCTATTACTGCTGGTATTAAATAAACGTTTAACGTAGTTTGCGTTTTAAAGTTGTTGTGTTCATCTATCGGAGATCTTGAACCTACGGATAAACGAACTCTTGACTATCGTTGGAAGCTACAACACGGTGTTGTGGATATAGCGAGAACTGAAGCTATAACATAATATAACATAAACAGAAAATAGAGACGCGAACTGACGTTCCTATGCCTCCAGCAAATGAAAAGCTTTCATTGTATTTTAAAAATAATAAAATAAATAAATGAAGTAAAATAAAATACAGTTGGATGAAGACACAGATTGTTAATGATAAATGTCTATACATAAAATCTATATATATATATATATATATATATATATATATATATGCAAATTTCATTGAAATTGTTTGCCCATTTTGCATTAATTAACTTCTTTATAAGACATTCAACGAGGCGGAAGTGTTTGAGTTCATATTTATCTAAAACTGGAATAAAGCTAACAGCGCTGTTTCGGCGTAATGCCATCTTCAGAGCCTAAATATTGTTTAAACATATAATTTAATTAAAGTAAATGCCTAATGTAAAATGTGAAAATATAGAAAATAAAATATGTATTAAATTGTGAAATAAATTAACCTTGTTGTAAATATCATAATAACTAAAGTTTATGTAGATTATATAAATAAAATAATGTAATTTAAATAAAATGTTTAGTAAAATAATTAAAATATAGAAATTTTATAAAAGTTTTAACATGGTTGAGAAACGTTAGTGAAAACTAATTACGAATGACATGTGCGCCAGATATATAATATTGCTGTGTATGCGTTGTGATACAACTATTGCGGTTGATATGTGTGAT